AGTTAACATTTTCTGTTTTTTATTTTTGTTTTCTAATGAATATTGTAATTTTATCTCAAATATTAATTTTCTTATTATTTATTCATTTTAGTGGCTTTTGTAGTGAGGGACATTATTGTTGTAGACCTTCATGTACTGTAATAAGAGTGAAATAAAGATTGTATTTGTAAGTTTTCATTTATGAGGTCTATAATATTAAAATAGACCTTCTTGCATTGTAACATGTTTATATAAAGGTGTTTTAAAGATTCCATTTTAGGGCTTGCTATTGTGATGGTCTATAGGCTTCCATAGACCATCATGGACTATAGCAAGTCTTTAAAGTTTAAATAAACTTAAGGCTGAGGTTTCAATTTCATTCGAATGAACTTCAGCCTCCTCAACTCTCAAAGAGACATAGTGTGTCTGCAACCAGTGAGCAGCAAACCAGCACTCAATGAAGCCCTTCAAGAAAAAAATAGAAGAGGACAAAGAGCATTCTCCTCCTTCTCGACCTTGAGTTCACACCTTCCGCTGCCCCCCCCCCCCTCTCTCTCTCTTCTTTTTTCCTAGATTCTTCATGGTTATTCACCGTGAGAGAGAAATAGGGTTATTGCATATCTGAATCAAGATGAGAGAAATTTCTTCAAGGTTTCATAAGCTGAATGTCCTCCTTCCAAGAAAAAGATATTTCAGCGCATGAGCACTCTTGTGCTTGGTTAGATCTTGAGGTTGTAGTCCAGCTCCAAGTACACAAGCTAAAACGTAAAACCTCTTCTTTTTTTTATCAAAAAACCTTCTTCTTTTTCCCCTTGTCGACATATACTTGGAAATATTTCGATATATATTTTTTTGTTTTTGGGAACGATATGGTCAACATTTACCAAAATGGTCGAAATATCAACCGACATATTGTATTTTTTTTAATTCATGTAAAATCTATGTCGTTGGGTCTCGACACCGACATATGTCAAGCGACATTTCGATAAATTTTAAACCATGTTCCAGATACACTTCCCAACAGAAACCACCCACTCTAGCAGACATAGGATTACTCCAAATTTCTTTTACCGAAAAAAATAACCCAAGACTATCACTCAGTTAAATCAAGGAAGAGAAAAATGAAGCACATGTAAAGGTACCAGAGGGAGTGGGGTCCAAACCCTCCTATCCCTTTTTGTACTATCCAAGCACACCCCTTCAAGACCTTGAAGCAGGTTTAAAACACAAGGAATTTCACTCTCACATAACCCTCTTCTGAACCCCAAATCCCAATCAATACCAATTTTTGAATTAGATGGGACCATGAAACAAGAAATAGGCTCCATCCTACAGATGGATGTGGTAAAAGGAGACGGGAATTGTTCTTTTAATGGTAAATTGCCCATCCACCACCGTCAAGGTAATACAATCCACCGGCCTCATGCCCCCCACCAATCTTCTTCCCCGTCTTGAGATCCTAAAAAACACAAAAGGAAGGGAAAAATGTAATAGAGCAATTAAGAGTCTTAGTTAATTTACTGACAGACATAAGATTGAATGGAAATTTAGGTACATATAGAACAGATGATAAAAGAAAAAGAAGTCGTGTCAACATTACCAACACCACAGATGGGAGAAGAGGAACCGTTGGCAAGGGTAACAGTTTGAGATGTGGAACAGAGGCTCCAGAGTCAATAATCCAAGGAGAGGGTTTAGATGCCAAACAAGCTATAGCTGATTGTGCAAGGGTGGTTGTAGTATGTTGTGAAGTAACCTGGAGGAACCTCTCATACTCATCGCGCGGTACACTCACCATCTCCTTCCCGGAAACAGATGTAGATGTGGAAGGTGTTAGATCTGCCTGTTGGTTATCACTGACATCAACCCCACCAGCTACTACATGCTTAGCCCATGTAGAAGATGGGCCTTGGAGATCATAACAGAAATTCACCGAATGTCCGTCCCTGCCACAATGGGTACACTTCCTAGTAGAGTTATTTTTTCCTTTACCACGACCTCCCCCTGAGTCACGACCACCACCATGGCCAAATATGAAACCACCACGACCTCCTCGGGAGGCATGTCCTCCCCCTCTAGTACCACGTCCACCTCCTCTGGCTATCACAAATGCTTATCTGTCAGATGGTGTGGGATTCTCTATATATCCCAAAGAAATCCTGCTAAGTCGTACAAAAACTTCCTCAAGTGTAGGAAGAGTAGAGACTCCCAATATTTGGGCCCTAATTGGTTCATACTCTGATTTCAACCCCACTAAGAACCTAATGACATCCAGTTGTTCCCTCTGTTGTTGCTGAACCTTAACATCTGGAGTGAGGGATGATAAACATTGAGTTCATTTCCGAGGTTCTTCATACTGGCATAGTACTCCTCTAGGGTTTTATTCCCTTGTTATAGATCAAAATACTCCTGATAGAGCTGATATACCCTTGTAGTATTATCCTGCCCAGAATAAAGCTTCTTGGCATGTTCCCATATGTCCTTAGTTGTCTCTAGGAACACATAAAGTTGGCACTTATTTTGGGTCCCATAATATTCCATAACCATGTCATGATTTGGGCATCTTCCTGTTCCCAGTCATCAAACCCTGGAGAGTCAATTGATGGTTTGTCTTCCTTCACGTGTTTCACTTTACTCTTTGCCTTAAGGAAAACTTCCACTAACTTGGCTCATGTCACATAATTCTCACCATTAAGTTTAATAAAGTCATCTGCACACCCAAATAGTCGGAGGGGATCATCACACTCGGTTTCTGATCACTAGAACCATCTCCCATTGCTGCCATTATGTCCCCCCATTGCTATCTCTAATGCTGAAATCTCAGTCACCAACCAAATACTACTGTCAAGGCAACACTACAGCACACTGATAACAATCTCACAACTAGTCACAATCAACACTTGATGTAGAGTAACATTCAGGTTAAGAACTAGATGTTTTAACCAGATTCAGCTACCATCCAGATTAGAACATTGATGAAGGCTAATAGGCTGAGGTATTCGGTCACTTCTTTCAGCACAAAAAAAAATAATAAAATCTGTTCACACCACTACTGACACCCCAGAAATATTAGGCACCATTACAACAACACAACACTCAAGCAACCACACAAAAAATTCTGTTCACACCACTACTACCAACCCAGAAATAGTAATCACCATGACAGCACTGTAACAACTCGAGCAACCACACACAAACCCTCTTGAAATGGTTCAGTAGAGGGTAAACACCACAAGCACCACCACACGACTAGGGCTGCCACACATGGTGACAGCAGTATTAGGCTGATATCCTAGGGCTGCCACACCTTCCTAATACTTGTAATAGGGATTGTGGCAGCCTAAAAATAAATAAATAACAGATGCCACAGCTTTCAGATTGTGTACCTCAGATTCGCAGCCCAGAGAAGAAGAAAAAAGGAGAAAGAACTTGAAGTCGCAGGATGGAAACCTTGAAGTCGCAGCCTTCTTCTCCTTCGTTTATGGCTCTGATACCACATTTTGACAGCTGTGTTTAGGTAGTTCGAACCAGTAGAGAGTAAGGGAGAAAGAAGAAGGAAGAAGAAGAACAGTCAAATCTGATAACTAAACCCTTTCAGTCGACCATAATGTGGATTAGCCTCTAATTAGTTGGACAAAGACTAAACTGCCCCCACTTAAGTATGGGACAAGAAGTCTCTATTAAAACTGCCACATAAGCACATAACTTAACAGAAATAAAATGACTAATCTACCCTTATTTGGCTAGCTCTAACAGTAACAATTCTCCATTTGAAGGAAGCTAATGAAAATTAACTGAAAATCCAAGTGACATTAGTTGGGCAATAAATATGGTGAAGAAGAAACTTCACTTAACACTCAATACAGCTCCAAATCATGTGAAATCACTTTCTGTGGTTCTGCAAATATCAGGGAAACTGAATAGTTGCAGCCAAACCCTTGACAAAAATCTTATCTTGGTTGAGACATTGTCACATGTTCAGACTGATTTTTTTCATTTCCACTAAGAAAAAATTTGAGAAACAGAAAAATAACTTGAAGTGAATGGGTTTCTACACCAAAATCCATCTAAAATCACCCATGGACAAAATCTAGAGTTCTCTGTTTCATGGATCATTGCCATCCATACAGCAATGATGATACCAGCACATAGTTGGGTGTGCAATCAACAGTCCTGATTGATGGTCTGGTACCAACGAAGGTTTTATTTATTCAAAAGCTCTTGATTGTAGAAGATAGAAGAAGAAAAGGAAGAGATGAAGGAAGAGAAAAAAGAACAAGAATCCTTGGGCAGTCATCCCATTCATGTATTTAGAATGTAATAGTATAATGACAACATGACTATCACACATAATACTGTCAAATACAGATCTAAAAACTCAACAAACTTTTATAGTTCCAAAAAAACCAATACACATAGAAACAAAGATATATAGCCATTAACAACTTAGGGGTGTTTGACAACATGGTTGGTTTTGTTTTTGAAAACAAAAAACAACTGCTGTGTCAGCAAAAACAATAGAATTTTGCTGATGTGGCAGCTTTTTTATTTTCAAAAACAAAACCAACTATGTTGTCGAGCATCCCTTAATCTTCAATTCCTTTTGCTTCCAATATCAAATTTTTTAAGGGGCATACTTTTAGTTGCAAACCATCACAGGTAAATGGATGAGAATCTAAATGGAAATTAAAAAAAAATACATAACTATCAAGTAATAGAACCAAACCTTCTTTGTGAGTCTACATTGACCAAGACAAAGTTCACAGTCAAGATAAGATCTGAGTTTGCATTGTCATAGCCATCATTTAGCACTCCAACTGATGGACTTGTTAGGTATCGTTTTGGATTCAGATCTTCAGAATACCTAAATTCTGGGTTGCATATTTGGTATGTCTCAACTATATCCCGTGTTAGTCTAGCAACAAGCTGCACAAGTAAAAACTAATATGGATCAATAATGCAACATCTCAACAGCCTTACAACATCCAAGTGGAGGAAAACCAACAGAAATATATAGGCTTTAACAAGCCCACTTTCACTAGATTTTTTTTTTTTTTGGATCAATAACAGAAGAATTTCATTCATTAAGCAATACTGGAATGTACACAGCAGAAAAAGGAGAGATGAACTCTCTTCTCTCTCCCAACCAAATGCATAGTAGGTTTTCCAAGCACCTAATATGAACAATAAAGCTAACAACAGTCCAGGAATTTCTAAATAAAGAAATAGAAATAGAAGATTCATACTAATCTTTCTTTGTTGATAAGTGACTCAATAAAGACTGATAGGTCTTCAGGTATCCCAAAAGGTATTTGATTTTATTTGTTTTAAAAGTTGATAGACCATTACTAGTACACAAACAACAATAAAGACTGATTTTATTTGTTTTAAAAGGAACGTCTGAGTTGGGAGAAGGGGTGAAGAATGGGGACTGGAGAGAACAAAGAACCCGTTGGAGAAGATTCCTGAAGATCGAAGCCAAACTATTTCTGTTTGAAGAACTCAAAGGGGCAAGTAAGTTTTCACTAAAGATTAGAGAGTGGAAGAAAGCTATGGTCTTACTGGTTGGAGAAGAGGTGATAAACTGGTTCAAGCTTTTCCTCATGGATGTCATTGGAAGCAGTAGAGAAAAGGATTGGCACAACATGAAGTCGTTAGAAGGAACAGTTCAGTGCTGAGTTGAGGTGGAATACAAAGGGAGTTTTCATTGCTCTGGTTGAGAAATTCAGTCTTGGGGAGGAAGCAGATGATTTGTTTTCCTGAAGGCAAGAAAGGAGAATGTTGGGATGTGTTGTTAAAGGTGCTAAAGGATGCTGAGGCCCTAGGTTAAGTGCAAGAGAAGACAGTAGAAAGAGATGAAGAATCAGAGGTGAAGACCATCAAGAGGATGGAAAGTCAACAGGGATTGAAATGCATGGTAGGTAGGGGAATTATTGCCTTGACATAGGATAAAGACTGGGAGCAAAAATGGGTGACTCAAGCTAAGGATAAGGTAGAAGACTGGGAAAAGGTTACACAGACGATAATAAGAAACTTAAGACTTGAAAGGTACAATAATAGTAACCCCCTCTGAGAAAAACAAAGCCTTGCTTGAATTAATGGAGGATAGTCTGGATTTAAGAGTTGTTTATATACCGATGGAGGCTGGTCAAGTTTTAGTTGCAAAGTGATCCCCAATATCAAACTCGAAATCATTGAACATGGAGAAAGAGATAACAGTTCATGTGCTGGATTTACCGTTTCATCTGTGGAAGACAGACCATTACCGCTTTGAGAAGGAATGTTTTACTGGAGACCTTCACTCGGCTTCCATGTTGTTAGTAGGGGCAAAACCAGAAGATATTCCTAGGAAAGTTCCATTCCTCTCAGATGAAATCTTCTACTCAGTGTGGCTTGTTACCTCCATTGAAGCGGAGTTGTGGAGGGAAGCACAGAAGGATATGAGAAGTTTGAAGAAGATAACTTACATCACATGAAGAGACTGGGACAGTCAACTGAAGTTGTAAGCTACACAAAAGTGGTGAAACATTTTACTGGAAACACAGATGTATTACCACAAGAAAACTACCAAGAGGGAAATGACAAGACTCTTGGTCACACATTGTTCAACCTATGCACAGGTGGTGGCTAGGGATTTCAACGGTCAGTCGAGTTTTTTAAATTCTGGACAGATGGATCAATAGCTTGGGGCGGCCTTCATTTGAACCAGCAGATAGTGGACAAACTGATGGTTCAGATGGAGGCATGTGGAGGACTATTGAGACAGGAGGTGGGCCTTTATAAAGAGAAAGGGAGGAGTGGAGTGACATAATCCAAGAAGCAAGGAGGCTTTGAAGGAGAAAGAACTCTCTGAATTGAATGTTGGATGGTCTGGAAGTGAGGAGAAAGATAAGTCGGTTTTCTCAGATTCTTCGAGTATTGACAGTATAGATGTGGTAGAAAAGATAGATATGTGGGTGCAGGAAAGATTTCACACAGCTTCTTTTCATTGAGGAGGATATGGTGTGCTGAACATATCACTCCTAGAGAACATGAACAGTCAGATTTAGGGGTTACAGTAAGGATAGATAAGGAAGGAAACAAAGTCGATTCAAATACTGAAGTTGAGCAGGTTGTACCCCCCATTGAAGAGGAATGATTCCCAGATTCTCATTGTCCACAGGATGTACGGTCAGTAGTTCCAAATTTTCACCTACAGAAATGCATCAACTCACCAAAAAGGGGTAAGTAGGGAATGGAAGGAACAGATACTGAAGTTGTCTCTGCTCCTTTTCACACCCCTAGTCAAGAACCTGCAGGAGGAACAGGTATGGTTGTCAATTCATTTTTGTCTACTGATTATGCTACTTTGCCTGATACAGGTGCAGCTGCATCCCAGCCAATATCAGAAAAAGTAGGAGAAAGAGATAAGTTGTTGGAAGTGGAAGGAGATGTAAGGAAAGAGATTAGAGAGGAGAATTTGGAAGAGGCTGGGATGATTTGGAAACTAATCTGTGAAAATTTCAAGGAATTAAAAGTAATGGAGGGAGTATCTCAAGAGGGGGGGTGAAGGACAATGAATTAGATGACTTGGAAAATAGGAGGGTAAGGTTTCATGGCATAGAAAGCAATTAGGATTTTACATCCACTCCGGTAAAAGGAAATGCTGGATTGGAGCAAACAGATACGAGTGTTAGGGAGACTAGGGTTTATTCCAGGAAGAGTGAAGAGAAGAAAAAGGAAAAAAGGAGAAAGAAAAGGTCAGAAGTAGAGAGATTAATTTCAGATGTTGAGGGTGATCTTGAGTTCACTGGGAGGGGGATAGAAGAAAAGGCCTGAAGTAGGAAGTGGTCAGAAAAAAAAGGGAGATTCTTGAGAAAAGAATAATGAAGATTATAAGCTGGAATGAAAGAAGTCTGGGTGGTGCAAGAAAAAGAAGGGTAATTAGGGATTTGCTTAGGAAAGAGAATCCAGAAATTGTAATGCTTCAAGAAACAAAATTAGCAGAGGTGGATAAGAAATGGAGTAGGAGCTTTTGGAAGGCAAGGGGAATATTAGATGGTGTTTCACTCCCTCATGGGGGGCTTTTGGAGGTTTAGTCACCTTGTGGAAGGAAGATTCAATGGATCCGATTGAGGAGTTGATTAGAAGATTTTCTATATCAATAAAATTTAAAAACAGGGGAAATGGTTGCATTTGGGTGTTATCTAATGTGAATGGACCTAACAGCTACAAGGAGAGGAACAAGATGTGAGAGGAATTGAATGCAATGAAGGGTTTATGGGATGGAGCATGGTGCTTGGGAGGGGATTTTAGTGTGATTAGATTTTCTAATGAAACTAGTAATTCCATTCAACAGATTTCAACTAGCATGAGGAAGTTTAATGCTTTTATAGAATCTTGTGAACTAAAAGAGCCTCCCCTATTCCAAGCGAGTTTTACTTGGTCCAACTTTAGAGATGTTTAGGGGCAAATCCTAGGGAGGAACTATTTCTTTATGGCCCTAATTCCTTTAGGGGCAAATCCTAGGGAGAGTAGATTTTGGACCCCAGTGATAGAAAAGTTTGAGAAGAGATTAGCCTCATGGAAGAGGAACTATTTCTCTTTAGGAGGGATAATTACCCTAATAAGAGCTACCTTGGCTAACTTACCTACCTATTATTTGTCTGTCTTTAGGATACCAGTTAGAGAAGCCAGGAAACTGGAGAAGTTGATGAGAGACTTCTTATGGGAGCCGGGACAAGAAAAAATGATCACTTGGTTAATTGGGAAATTGTGTGCAAAAGTAAAGAAGAGGGGGACTTGGGAATTGGGAGGGTAATTAGAAAGAATCAAGCTCTGTTAGGGAAGTTGTGGAGATGGCCTTTGGAAAGAGAGAGATTGTGGCATGAGGTGGTGGGAAGCATTCATGGGAGGTCAGAGAACGGATGGGATGTTGGTGTATCGAGGCAAGCTAACCTAGCAGCACCG